GGGGAGCCGGTATAAGTACCGGTGACACGTACGGTACCAGGGGCATTTCTGCAAAGGCCCCGAGGGCAGAACTGAAAAATGCAGTATTTGAAAGTGGCGCCCGAATTGCAGCATGGCGCCAGTTGTCCGAAATCCTACGGTACCAAAGGAGGAGTTTGGAAAAAGGGCGTAAGGCCGAAAACGGGATGCAGCTGAAACAGCAAAAAGATAGACCAGGGATCGAGCCCTGGCGAAGTCCGTAACAGATAGCATCATACACATCCAACCCAGAAGCCCAATCTCATATGAATCAGGACTAATAGATGCCGAATTCACTCTCCAAGAACCACATGCTATTCCGCCAGATCCTGAGAATAATATCAAGGAGTGCCCAACTTTAAACAGAGCAACAGCAATGCCAGTGGAAAATACTGTTTCAACTTTTAACCGAACAATGCCACAGGCTATGCTCAAGTAGCAAGACAAGACGATTTCCGCCAGAAACCCTAACTCACCGGCATGTCAGGCAAGTGCTTGTACGCAAGTGCAAGAACACGCGATCCTTGTCTCGTGAACTGTTTGTACGCCTCAACATATCCTGCAGGTAATGTTACCAGCCGGCTCTGAATGGTCTCTGGTGCCCCCTGTCAAACAAAAAGCAAAAATGAGAGGGCAGGAAAGGAGTAGAGAACTCATTAGAGAACACAAGGACGGAACGAAAGAGGAACAGACGGCATAGGAGTGGAAGAGAAAAACAGAAACCAAAATTGCATGATCTGAAATGCAAAATGACATCAGCCCATGAAATCGACCAAAATTTCATAATCTGAGATGCAAAATGATATCAGACCATGAAATTGTGTACATACAAGGATGCGAAAGGGTTTCACCCAGTTCGCACCGATATTGCAGATACCAAGACTCGATCCCCATACCTTAGCCACTGTATAGTCACCTGTTGGCCCTGTGTGCTTTGAACCCGCGACCTGTCCCTAAAACCGTGTACAAATGTTTCGTGTGTGTAGCTTGGGTCGTGTGGACTTGATCCGTAGGTTAGATGATTAGGAGTCCTAAGGGTCGTCTGTAAGTCCTCTGAAAGGTCACTACCGTCTCCACCCAAATAGAACGCCCAGTAATTATCACAGTATCTGGGCTGAAAGTTGTGCCAAATACAGCTATAATGACCGGGCGTTATATTCGGGTGAAGACGGTAGGTCGTGGCTAGAACAGTCCTCAAAGGGTCAACTTGACCACTCGTAGGCTGAAAGGGCAGTCCATCGATCTCTGAAAGGTCAAGAGTCCCAAGTCAGTCACCGAAGGGGAAAACGAAGGGGCAGTCCCAGTCCAGTCCGTTTTTGCAGCAAGTACCAGAATGGGACTGCACATCTTGAGGGCCTGGGACATCGGCAGGCCCAGGCCACCAAACGAAACAGTATAAATAAAGAGGCAGCGATCAGTCATTCACTTATTATCTTGGGGGGGAATTATGTGGAAGTGCTGCCCGAGTGACTTGTGCGTTGGGTTCGCCGGTGGTCAGCAAGAAGCCCGAAGGTGGAAGAGGGCGAGCGGCCATAGCCGCTAGTGAGGAGGAAGACGACGGCGGTCATAGCCGCCAGTGTGCTGAAGTCAGTAGTTTGTGTGTGTGTGTGTGTGTGTGGACATTCAGGGTAGATCCTAGTGCGTGTGTACGTTTGTGCGAGTGAGTGTAAGTGTGTCTGAAGGTGGATAGTACTGGATACAGGGTAAAGGTGGGAATTTCAGACTGGCGCTTAGACGGCATAGCCGCAAGATGTGATAAGTTGACTTGAGCTGCATCCCTGGCTGAAGGCTATATCTCTGAGTTTTCTGTGTGGGCGCGCTGCGCCATCTCACTCTTGCTGCTGGTCCTTCCTTGAGGAAGTTGTTTTGCCATCGGCACCTGCATGTATGCATGTTGGAAGGGAAGTCGAAGACGAGTCTGATTTCAGTTGATACTGTGGGCCTGTGGCTCTAAACTTCCGTAAATTCTCGAATTGACGGAAAACAAACTCTGTCGAGCTATGTAAGGCGGTCCCCACAAATTCTCCTCAAAATAAACAAACCATTCAACTTCATGATATTGCTCTGCCGCTGACAATACCTGGAACTCACAAAGATGCAGAAAAGCACCTCAGTTCTGAAAACAAACAAAGCGTTACGGTTATTTAAATGTATTTTATAATTAAAAAAGTCATTCTTCTTCCTCTTCTTCTACGTCTCCTGTTCCTCCACGTCCTCCTCCCCCTCCCTCCCATAGGCAGCCATAGTTGCTAGTGGCCCATTTTTTTTCTTCCTTTTCTTCAACTTTTTCTTTTTCTTCTTGTCCTCCTCGTCTTCGTCCTCCACTCCCCCCCCCCCTTCTCCCATAAGAATCCATAGCC